TATATTCCTTTCCGGGTTCGTGGGTCGATCATGTTTGGTCGGCGGCCGCGCGACAAAGGTCAGCCGGCAACAGCGATGTCCGGGGCAACGGAACACGGCAAATTAGATGCGATGCGTGGAGTGCATATGCACTGAGCAAAATGCTCTGCATTAAGGCAAACGCACATAGGCGCCGGCCGCACCGAAGTGAAGCAGACAGCAGTGCGGGTGCAACGGAGAAAGTCGCCCTGTTGGCGCCAAGCTCCGAGCAGCTCCCCTAGCCGAAGGCGGAAGGGAGAACCGAAACTACAACGCTGAAGGCTGAACCACTCAGCGCGAAGTCTGAACCACCGCCGTACGCAGGGCCGGCGGAGACAGGAGCAGAGAATGGCAGGGACCTACAGAGCACTCGCTCCACGATCCACACCGCTGCCTGGGGGGGGGCCGGTGTCAGTCATCGTCTCCGAAGCCAGTGATAGGCCAGGAAAGCAACGATGAGAGAGGACACGCAGGCCCAAGTACCGGTACGCTGCCGCCTCGCGGATATCGGCCACGAATGTCGCCGAGGTTACGCTGCAGCCGCGACCAGCTCATGGGGCGCTGGAGCGCAGTCAGGGCTGAATCTGACCACGGAGTGGGCCGAGGAACGGCAGGTGACAGAGCATTCACTCCACGGACCACACCGCTGCCCGGGGGGGGGGCCGGTGTGTCGTTCATCATATCCGAAACCAGTGAGTGGCCGGGGCTGCAACGATGAGAGGACACGCTGGCCCAGGGCCGGTACACTGCAACCTCGCAGGTAGCGGTCACGATTGTCGCCGAGATTCGCAGCTGCCGCGACCAGCTCGCGGAGCGCTGAAGCAGCCAGGGCTGAATCTGACCACGAAGTGGAGGTGCTGGAACGCAGCCAGGGCTGAATCTGACGACGCAGTGGAGGCGGGGTGCAGGCAACAGCCGCAATGAACACATGTCCAGTTGGAGGGGGGGGTGCAGCCAACAGCCGCAATGGAACATGTCATGGAAGCAGCTCGCACAGAGCCGAGGAGGAGGGAGGGGTTGTGTGGGCTGCACACAGACCGCCGCCGAGCAGAGTGGTGCGCAGGGGGGGGGCTATTCCAGTCAACCGCCCCCGGTCAACCACAGTGGCTGTCGAGAGAGACAGCAAAGGGTTAGGGGCGCGGGGGCGCGTCTGCGTCCGTCCCCAGCCCCAGCAGAGCAGTTGGCCTTTGGCCGGTGGGGCCTGCAGGCTCACCCCCACCTGCGTAGGGGGGGGGAGGTGGCCAGGTGAGGTCCTTTTATCCAGTGTGGGCTGCCTAGCTATGCAGCGCGAAGCGTCAAGAGTTTACGATGGATCGTGCCCCCGGGAGCGCGGACGCAGCGAAATGTCTTGGGGATCCTGGCCCTGAAGGGCGGACACAGCGTAATTGATTAGGGATCCTGCCCCTGGGGGCGCGGACACAGCGTAATTGACGAGGGAGCGCGGCCTTGGTGGCGCGGACGCAGCGTGACGTACAAGGGATCGTGGCCTTGAGAGCGCGAACACCACGTATTTTTCTAGGGGTCGCTGCCCTCGGAGCATGAACCCTGTGAGCGCGGGCGCAGCCCTGGGAGCGCGGACGCAGCCTAGTTTAAAAGGGATCGTGGCCCAGGGATAGCGGACGCAGCGTAATTGACGAGGGATCGTGGCCGTGTGAGCGCAGCACAATACTGTACAAGGGATCCTGGCTCTGGGAGCGCGGACGCAGAGTAATATTCGATTGATCTTGGCCCTGGGAGCGCGGACGCAGCATAATTTATTGAAGAACGTGGCCCTGGGAGCGCGGACGCTTCATATATCACATGTGGGCGCGGCCTTGGGAGCACGGACGCGGCCTTGGGAGCGCGGACGCAGCGTAGTTAACAAGAGATCGTCGTTCAGGGAGCGCGGACGCAGCGTAATTTACAAGGTATCGTGGCCCTGGGAGCGCGGACGCAGCATAGTTTACGATGGATCGTTGCCCTGGAAGCGCGGACGCAGCGCAGTTTACAAGGGATTCTGGCCCTGCGTCAGGAACGTCCCGTGGCACGTTCCCTGACGCGTTCCCTGGCACGTTCCCTGGTGCGTCGCCTGGCACGTTCCCTGGCAGGTTCCGTGGCGCGTCCCGTGGCGAGTCCCCCTGGCACGTCGCGCGGCGCGTCCGCTGGCATGTCCCGTGGCACGTCCATTGGCAAGTTCCGTAGCGCGTCCCCTTTGGCATGTCCCGCGGTGCGTCCTCATGGCACGTCCCCTGGCACGTTCCCTGGCGCGTCCCTTGGGACGTTCCGCGGCGCGTCCCCCTGGCACGTCCCCCTAGCATCGCCTAATTGCAAATGCAATTGGAGTCCTTCGGACATGTTCCGTGCCTCGCAGTTCTCAATCCATTTCCGGGTTCGTGGATCGATCATGTTTCCAAGACAGGCGTGATCGTCCAGTTTCGGACCCCCGGACCCTCACAGATCGATCCGGCTTGAAAAATGCAGCAGAAAGATGGTGTCTGGGGCTGTGGTCGTGATCTGTTATGATGTCTCAATTTTGTCGCGCCGTCGGATCGCAGGGTACAGGTTCGGTTAGAAAGTCAAGTTGTTGTGTTTTCTCTTCAAAGCGACAGAACTCCCCGGATCCATCGGAAAACTGGCCCCCGAAGGGCGGAGGCTTTACGGAGGGCGTTGAATGAGTTTATGAAGTCTTCGGTCTTTGTTTTGGGAGGGGACCATTCCCGAGTGAACCCTGAGCTAAGGGTACGAGGATCAAAAGCAGTTCCTGTCCACCACGGGCGGGGTTCCCTGTCGGCGCCACCACGGACGTTGTCTGTCTGATACAAGGTCGCCTGCGCAACAGCGGTCGTTGTCGGTTTGAGGCGACAGGTGCTGTTGAGCATCGTACCATTTTTTCTCGGAAGGGGCGCCTGCCCAGGGTTCTCTTTTAGATGTATACTTTTCTGGTTTCGGCTGACGAGGGCCGGCGGAAATATTTGCGATAAATATCGAGGTGAAGTCGGACTGGTGTTTGAAAACAAGCATGCCGCGCGTGCCCGCTCAAGGAACGTGTGCCCCCTATTTCGGATCCTCGATGAAAAGCGGGGTCCGCAGATACACGGTTTTTCTTTCAACAAGCTGGGTGCGGAGCGTTTGACGCAGAATCCGCGATAAAACATTGGGTCAGGAGGCAGCGAAATGCGTCAGCAAATGAAAGAAGTGTATTCGTGCCCGCTCGAGAATGGCGCGCCCTGCGTGTCGAATATCTGCCGATATCACGAACGAAACGCTTGTCGTGCAGAACTTGAGCGGCCTGTGCGCCCGAGGATGCCCAGGTGGCTCTGGGGGCCAGAGCACATAGTAATGTATTGGGGAACGTGGCCCTGGGAGCGCGGACACAGCGTAATTCTCAGACGCAGCGTAGTTTACGAGGGATCGTGGCCCAGGGAGAGCGGACTCAGCGTAATTTACATGGGATCCTGGACCTGGGAGCGCGGAAGCAGCGTAGTTGACGTTGGATCGTGGCCCCGCGAGCGCGGACGCAGCGAAATTTACTAGGGGTCCTGGCCCTGGGGGGGCGGACGCAGAGAAACTTATTAGGGATCCTGCCCTTGGGGGCGCGGACACAGCGTAATTAACAAAGGATCGTGACCCTGGTGGCGCGGACGCAGCGTAATTTGTAAGAGGTCGTTGCCCTGAGAGCGCGAACCCAGTGTAATAATTTTCTAGGGGTCGTTGCCCTCGGAGCGCGAACCCATAGTAACTTTCAAGGGGCCGTGGCCCTGGAGCATGAATCCCGTGTAATGTCAGAAGGGTCGTTGCCCTGGGAGCGCGAATCCGGTGCAATCTTCGAGGGACCGTGGCCTTCAGAGCGCGACTTTTTCGTAATTTACAAGGGATCGCGGCCCTGGGAGCGCGGAACAGCGTGATTTATTATGGATCGTTGTCTCGGGAGCGCGGACGCAACGTAGTTTACAAGTGATCGTGGCTCAGGGAGAGCGGGCGCAGCGTAATTTAACAGAGAGCGTGGCCCTGGGAGCGCGGTCCCGTCGTAATGGCTTCGTTCATAGGTCCGCCGTGCGTTGCCCCTTTCTGATTTTGCGGTGTCTGGGGGGGGGAGGCAAGCCGGGTTTGCAAGAGCAGAACAAGGGCTTTGCTTGGTGCGTGGCCCCGCCGTAGCCCTTGACATCTAGATTCATAACGGGGCGCGAAGATCCTAGGAGGCTCCAGGTGATCCGCGGCGCGTCCCTTGGCGCGTCCCGTGCCACGTCCCGTGGCACGTTCCCTGACGCGTTCCCTGGCACTTCCTCTGGCGCGTCGCCTGGCACGTTCCCTGGCACGTTCCGTGGCGCGTCCCGTGGCGAGTCCCCCTGGCACGTCCCGTGGTGCGATCCCATGGCGCGTCCCCTGGCACGTCCCCTGGCGCGCCCCTTGGGACGTTCCGCGGCGCGTCACCCTCGCATGTGCCCCTGGCGTCGCCTAATTGCATATGCAATTGAAGCTCTTAGGACATGTTCCATGCCTCGCAGTTCTCAATTCATTTCCGGGTTCGTGGGTCGATCATGTTTCCAAGACAGGCGTGATCGCCCAATTGTATATGCAATTGAGGCCCTCGGAAACGGTTCCACGCTTCGCAGTTCTCAATCCCTCTCCGGGCTCGTGGATCGCTCGCGTCTCTCCGTACCCATGCCGGGCGTTCCAACAGGAGGCGCGCGCGGCTGGACCACCCCGACGTGTCCGCAGCGCCCGACGCGGACCAGAGGTGGCGCCAGATCTCGGAGGCGTACGAGATGCTCCAGGATCCTGACATCTCGGAGAAGGGGAATCTGCATCAGCGTAAAAAGATCCGGAGGCCCGCACGGACTTCTTGGATCTGCGCTGGGCGCCACTGGCGGCGCCGCCCTTGTGCGCTCCGCGCGCCGCGGAGGGGGGCCAGCGCCGATCCAGGAAATCAGCGCGGACCTCCTGCACTATATGTCTGTGTCGTTTCCTCTCCTCCAAACGTCATGAAAGTGAAGGAGGAGGAGATGATGGCCGAGGCCATCCGGGCAAGGGAGGACGAGATCAAGGCCGAGCAGGAAGACCTCGCGCGGTCGGTGCGCGAGGCCTTCGCAACACGCATCACCGACGAGCAGAGGGACCGGCTCCGCTCGATGCTGGACGCTGTGGAGCCCCCCGAGAGGTCAGAGGAGGGCAGCAGCATGTGAGCGTCCCCCGCCCACGAGGACTGAAAGACCGTCACGGTTGTCAGAGGGGGGCCAGTTGAGACAACGCCAGTTGGCCCGGAGGCGGCCCCCCCCTCGCCACCACGGTTGGGAGCAGATTGGAAGATTGAGGCGTGTGGACCTTGTGAGGGGTCCAGGGCGCGACGTTGAGCTGCCGTTGCCTCCACTCGCCCTGCTCCGACCCTCACGGCTGTGAGGCGGGTGTCGCGATCCTCCGTTTTTCTGCGCGCCGGCGACCTCGAACCGCAGGCCCATACTGGTGCGCACTCCACGTCCGCCGATCGTCTTTGTCCTCTCTCCTCCTCCATCCGCTGCTCCTTCCTTTCTGCCGGTGGAGATGCCGCTCCCGCCGCCGCCGCCGCCAAACAGAACGGTGCTCCTCCGCTCGGCGATCGACGCTTCGCCCATGCCCCTGCTGCTGCTGCCTCCACCTATGACCGCCAAGGGGCAGGGCACGGACAAGAAACCGGCTTCCAGGGCCCGGATCTTTGTCCATCGGGCCGGACGAAAGGGGGGGGATTGGGACAGGGGGGGTTACGAAATTTGCTGCATGCAGCTGGTTTCGCCCTCACCGATGGGCCCATTCCTCGATACATAGCCGCCTCCGGCGCCCGGAGGCGGCGGGAAAATCAGCTACGTGAGCTGATTCTTAGACCCCCCCCTTTGCTATCCCCCCCTTTCGCCCGACCCGAGTCCATGTCCCCACCCTGGCCCCTCGTTGGACTTGAGGCGCCAGCATCGGCATAGATAACGTTGATCGCCAATTCCCTCGCCTCCCGGCAGGCCGACCAGCCCACCTTCTGCGCCGACCCGTGGGGCAACCCGCAGGACGGGGGCGCCGCCCCTCTTCAAAATCACACCGTCAAGACCCACAGCAAGGATGCGTTGTTCCATCAAGGCTGCCCTGGCATCCCTGCTTCTTCGGCACATCTCTCAAAGACATCGATGGCATAAGCATGAACTTTTGGAGGCCCGCATTGATTTCTTAGATCGGCGCGGGACCCCCATCCCCGGCTCGCGAAGGGGCTCCAGCGCCGATCCGAGAAACCCGCGCGGACCTCCGAACGTTATGCTAATGCAATTATCTGTGTCGAATCCTGGGCCGCAGCTGACGTCCAAGGAGCTCCAAACGGCACGTGCGCACCCTCACCTGTAGCATCCTTATGATGTACAGCTTTTGAGTGCATGCCGCTCCCCTCCAGTTGCGCTCCGCTGCCCTCGGTGGCCGCCAGGGAGGGCGGGCGCCTGCGTCCACCACGGCCAGAGTTCGACAGGCGTGCTCCAGGTACACAAGAAGCCATGGCGTGCGTCAGAAACCGACTTCTCACGAGAGACAACTCCTTCATCAGAAACGATTGCCAATACTTCAATCGTGATTGAAATATTATGGATGTATTCGTCATCCAGCCCAGAGATTCGAGGCTACGAACGAGCTGGAGCGGGCGGTGTCTGACAGTTTTCGGCCACCGGGGGCCCTCCATGGGCCCAGGGGCCGTCAGAGGACGGCTCGGGAGGAGAGGCCAGTCCTGGGGAAGTTGCCCAGAGCTCCAGGGGTCCACGCACCAACTCTTTGGAGCGCTGGACGTCTGGGAGGGTGTCCCGGATCTCCTGTTCCTCGGCACAGGCTCCCGGAAGCGAGTGCTGCTGGATGCGCTGCGCGTCCTGGATCGCATCCTGAGCCAGCCGGTGAGGCTTCAGGCTACGCGCAGGCAGGCCCCCAGGCAGTTCCAGCTTGTCTCAACAGGCCCCCCGAGTAGTCCAGCTGGCCTCAACATGCCCCCGATCAGCCAGGGGCGGTCTCAACACCCCAACCCTGGGGCGCAGGGGCGTCGCCGAAGGCGGCGCTGGGGTGTTGAGACAGCCCCGGACTTCTCGGGAGGCCGTTTGAGACCAGCTGAGACTATTCGAGGGGCCTGTTGAGGCCAGCTGGGACTGCCTAGTTAGGGGGGCTGTCTGCGCGCAACGCGAAGCCCCTGCAGTTGGCACGTGGTGCCGCTAACCCCTGCGCCGTGGATCTGGGGACACCTCGAAGCATTGCTTGCAGACCCCCGAGGCTGTATCAGCAGGCCGTGCGCAGCCGCAGCATAGTAGAGGAGCAGGAAGCGACATCGGAGGCTGGGGCACTGGCGCGCGCCCTCCCTCCTCACCCTCCTCCTCGTCCTCCGTTTTTGTTCCTCCTTTCCCCCACCCCCCCTCCTCCGAGTCTTGGGGCCGCGGTCACCGCGGCCAGATGGCCAGGATTCACCGTGGATCCTAGCCATCTGGCCGAATTTGAGGCCGAGGCGCCGCCCTGCACTCGGGGAGACGACACCCGCCTCTGGCCCCCCTTGCCCACGCGGTGGCGCAAGCGCGAGCTGCCCCAACCCCAGCCAGGAAATCGTTTCTGTCCGTTCTCGCTGCGCCTGCGGGCGAGGCGAGGCGAAGCGTGCGCGAGCCCCCGCCCTTGTCAGAAGCTACGTCGGGTCAAGATGTACCGCCCCGCGTCCGGATCGTGGCCCCTGGTGGCTCCCGGGTTGCCCCGCCAGCTTCTCCGACGGTCATCATGGTGGTTGTCCAGGTGGTTGTCCAGATGGTTGTCCTGATGGTCGCCCCGATGGTCGCCCCGATAGATGGATCGTGATGCATAGCTGCATTCATATAATGAGCGCCTGTGTACTTAAGAAGCGGATCTGCCTCGATCATGGGCCAAGCGGAAGGGCTGGCTCCAGAGCGCTCCAGGAGGGCCCCAGACGGCCCCAAGGTGTCCCAAGAGGGCCCCAAGACGGGCCAAGAAGACTCCAAGCGGTCTCTCAGACGGTCCAAGAGGGCCCCGAGTCGCCGAGCGATCGACCCAAGACGCTCCAAGAGGCCTCCAAGACGCCGCAAGAGGCTTCCAAGAGCCGTCCCAACACAGCTCCAAGAGGCAAACACCGTCCCCTTCTGCTGGGTCGAGTCAAGTCCGGTCGAGGGGCCTGGAGGCCGCTGGCTCCGCAAGCGGAGACGGAGGGCGTGAAACAATACGGCAAGAAAACGCGCATGCAAGAGAAATGGTAAATCTAAGATCGATCCAAACACTCTATCTTACATCATGCGTCCCACCACGTGTAGTCAAACGTGCAGTCTCCAACCGTTGGGGACACATGGTTAGCATCTGCGACTCTTCAGCCGCTACGAATATCAGCGTCACCAGCATCATCGTCATCATCGCCAGCGTCATCGCTGCCACCGTCATTATCATCACCATCCGCTTCATCATCATCGCCGTCGCCGACATCGCATTGTCCACATCTCCATTGTCATCGCCATCGGCATCAGCGTCAGCAAAATTGTCATCTCAATCGTGGTTGGCGTAGCGGCCGTCACCATCGCAATCACCATTTCACGACCTGCAGAGTGGACTTGTCTACCAGTTGAATTCCACGCGCCCGTGCGTTCTTTGAGATTACGGCCAGACGAATTGTGCGGACAAATTGTGGACGGGAGGGTGGGATTCTTGCACGAGCATGGAATGAGTGACCTTAAGTTTGTGGTACTAAATTGCAACATATCGCTTGCATGACATGGCTTGCACCATGTAGCTTACACCACATAGCTTGCACCACGTACATGGAACCACGTAGATTGAGCAACATGGCGTGCACCACATAGCTTGCACCACATGGGATACACCACGTAGCTTGCACCAAGTAGATTGCATCGCATGGCTTGCACCGTATGGATTGATTATAACACACTGCTTGCACCACGTAGATTGCACCACGTAGCTTACACTACATAGCTTGCCACACATAGCTTGCACCACAGAGCTTGCATCACGCAGATTGCAAGACACAGCTTGCACCACACAGCTTGCGCCGCATAACGTTCACCACATAGATTACACCACATGGTTGCATCGCGTAGCTTGAACATCCACAGTGCAATGTCTTACTGCTTGGAGTCTACGCTGGCGAACACACACATCGATACACAGATTTGCACATCGATCGGCAACATTGGCAGTGAGGTCGACATCTAGAGAGATCGATCGATGTGTTGGCAGTGAGATCGATCGACAGCGAGACCGTTAGATTGTAAGGTCGCGTGATAGGTTCAGAGATCGCTGGATAGATTTCGAGTCCGATCCGACGCGAATCGCAATCCGAAAGCTGAACGCCCCCCCAACCTCCTTATCACCCGAAGGGTGGTGCTCTAGGTAAGCACAAGCATTCGGAGGTCCGCGCGGAGCTCCGCACAATGATGGCTGTGCCGCTCTCTTCCGTCAGCAACCAAATCTAAGCAAAGCTTGCTTTCGACCAGGGGCAGAAGTTCTAGACCCCCGACGTCGCAATCTGTTGTCCATGACGTGGACACTGAGAGGTCTAGACTCCTTGTAGACAGGCTCCCATCCTGGCTCGTTCCCCGACGGCGGTCTTGGGGCCTAGCGGGGGCCTCAGGAGGCCGAAGCCTGCCGAAGAGATCCCGTCGGGCTGTTCTCGTTGGCGACGCCGGCCCGTCTGGCGCTTCGGCCCTCCCCGGAGCTCCGGCTTCGGCCTCGCCCTCGGGCGCCCCGGACGGGCGGCCCGACCGAGGCAGGCCCAACGGCCGCGAGCCCGAGCGGATGCCGCGCTCGCTCGGCCATGGGCGGCTCCCACGCCCCTTCGGCCGGGGACGATCTGAGTGCCCAGGGGCTCCTGCTTCCTCCTCCTCCTCCTTCTCCTCCTTCTCCTCCTTCTCCTCCTCCTCATGTTCCTCTTCTTATTCCTCTTCCTTCTTCTCCTCCTTCTCCTCCTCCTCCTCCTCCTTGCCGCCCCAGCTGAGGCTTCAGTGAAGTAGAGTGTCAGAAGAGGCTCAAGATAGTAAGTGAAACAGGGTCACGCAGATAGCTCCCAAGAGGTGTGAGGTGAGCGCAGATCGCTCATGAATGGCCTGAACTGGGGCGGCCAGGGCGTCCAGGGAGGCAAAGAAGAGGGGGTCCGAGCATGTGGGGTCCGAGCAGATGGGGTCGGAGGATCGCGCCGCATCGCCGATGCATCGGCGATGCGGCCCGATGTGGAGCCCGATGTTCTCCATCCCACCGTCGCCGAAGCATCGCCGACGTCATCGATGCACCGCTGTTGCATCGGCGATGCGGCGCGATCCTCCGTCCACATCTACTCGGACCCCGTCTGGGAGGCCTCAAGATTGGGGCTGGGGTGCCCGGGGAGTCAAACAGAAACTTTCGGAGGTCCGTGCGGATCTCTGGGGTCGGCGCTGGGCCCTCCCTGACGGCGCCTCCAGCGCCGCCCCTGGCACGCTCTGTCCGCCAGGGAAGGGGGTCCAGCGCCGACCCAAGAACTCCGCGCGGACCCCCGACAGTTTATGGTTGTGCAGTTTTTGGCTCCTCCAGGGAGGCCCTTCAGAGGAATTGGGCGCTCCCAGATCTCCGAAGACGTGACTGTTTAAATCTCGGCGTTTCTCCTCGAGTTCGGCCGGGCCCGGGACCATCAGAAATGGATCCAGGACGAAAAGCTGCCCCCTGGGAAGGGGTCTGGATCTCTGGGGTCGCGCCTTGAAAACACTCACACTGTTCGATGTCTGGGGCGTCAAGACAGGCCCCCCATCAAGGGAGGAAATAACACCCGGACCCGACAATTGGCGTTTACTGAAAGGCCCCGGGCGTTTACTAAACATCCCTGCCCTGTTTGATTCCTTCTTTGGGCGCGTTTACTCAACGACCTCGCATGTCGGCGTTGTTATAATGGGGGCGGATTGTTTGACCTCTGCTCCAGAGGAATCGGGCCTTCGTTACCGAGGGGGGGGGCGGGGGGAAAGGGGTGGGGGAGAAGCGTGCGCCTTTGCAGCATCGGTTGGATCCGCCTGTTGCAGTTCAGGGGCCGTTGGTAATGGCCCCTTCGGGGGCCGCTTTCCTGCAGCTCTCGATCGCCCCCTGATTCGGGCCCTCTCGCGAACGTCCCTCTGGATCCGCCTGCTGCAGTCCGACGGCCGCTTCGGGGCCCGTCGGGACGGCTTTCCCGCGCCTCTCGATCGCCCCGCGCTCACTGGCCCCCCGCGAACGTCCACGCGAGGGAGGCCCTCCAGAGGAAAGCTGCAGGATGCATGTGGCATTGCAGGCACATCAGGTAAGAGCTCTGTTCGCCAGCGGGTAACCTACGGCAATGTCGCATCCCCCGATGGCCTCGGGGATCCGCGGAAGCTCGACGAAGAATGCTCGACGAGGTTCGACGAAGGTTCTGCGCTGAGGTTCGACGAGGTTCGACGAAGCTCGACGAGGTTCGAAGAATGTTCGACGAGGTTCGACAAAGCTGGGGCACCTGAGGACTAAAGCATCGACGCGGAATGTACCCCAGGCTCTCTCACAGCAAGATTTCACATCGCACGTGTTTGCTGTACAGCCCCCCCCCCTCCTGGCTGTGCTCCCTGCGGCGCCGGCCAACGCATGCACGGCGGAGCTTCGCCTCCTTTCGGCGGCGAGCTCAAGGGGGGCAGTGAGAAGGGGCGGGCCTTCTCAGGAGGCTCGGGACAAGCCTCCCCCGAGGGCGCGAGGCCTTCTGAGAAGCCCCGGCGCCTTCCGAGGAGGCCTTCTCCTTCTCGCCTCCCCCCCCCCTCCTTCTCGCCTCCCCCCCCCCTTCTCCTTCTCGCCCCTCCCCCCCCCTCCCCTTCCTGCCCCTCCCCCCTCGCCTCCCCCCCCCCTTCTCCTTCTCGCCCCTCCCCCCCCCTCCCCTTCCTGCCCCTCCCCCTTCCAGGGCCCGAGGGGCTCGCGCCCGGCCTGCCGCCGCCGGGCGTTCCCTGGGGCAGGGAGGGCCCCTCGGCTGCCCGGGGCGCCCGGAAGCTCCCCCCGGGGCCTCCCAGTCGGGGTGCGAGCAGGGGCAGCCATCGGGGGGGGGGGGGATATGCAGAGGGGGGGCCCGAGGGGCTCGCGCCCTGCCTGCCGCCGCCAGGCTTTCCTGGGGCAGGGAGGGTCCCTCGGCTGCCCGGGGCGCCCGGAAGCTCCCCCCGGGGCCTCCCAGTCGGGGTGCGAGCAGGGGCAGCCATCGGGGGGGGGATAGGCATACAGTCGGGGCCCTGGAGAAGGAACCCTTTTCGTTTGGGAGGGGCTCCGCGTTCCTTGAGTGTTTCACAGCTTGCCTCAGGTTTCCCGTATGTCTTCGACAGGAAAGCGAAGTTTAACTTATGGAAAAAAGGGGCCTCGTTCCTTATTTAGGGTTCCTTAGGTCAAGGCCCCGACTGTAGGGGGGGACGTATCGACCCCCAACCGCCCATGGATCGCCGATCGGGGCCCGAGAGCCCCAACCTGCCCAGGGAGGCGCGGATTCACGATCGGAGGCCTATCGCCGATCTATCGGCGATGTGCCGCCGATTCCGGGTCGATGCCAGTCCCCCCCCATGCCGGTCCCCACCCTCTATCGTTGCCCCTCCTGCGAGCAGGCGGGATCGGAGGCTTCGCCGCTTGCCCTTCCCCGGAATGATTTTGTGTCCCGTCGGGCCATCAGCCTGGCTCAAGCAGTGGCGAGGCGTCCTGGCTCGCCTATAGCCCTACCAAACAATGTTCAAAGAACCTTTTGTTGTGGTTTCCACGGGATGTTCTTAGAACATGTCTGGCGGAGGTTGTCTTGTTTTAACACATGGGGCTTATGTTCTGAGCACATCGTTCTTGTTCTTAGAACATTTTGGGGTTCTAAGAACACTTCCTGGTATGACTACAGGAATGCCGGGACGGTCGGTCCCTGCTCAACTGGCCACGCGGGAGCCCGACCGGGGCCTCGGCGCCCGCGGCTCGGGGCCCTCGTCGGCGGCCTCGACGGCTCGAGCTGCCAGGGAGGGCCCCCTGGGGCACGCTCGAGCGACGGAGCGCCGGAGGGGCCTCTGGCCCGCGGGTGGTGGGCGGGAGACGCTCGCGTCGCGAACAGACCACGGCGGGAGAGTTTTCTGGCCAGTTCCGGCCCCTGGGGGCCCTTTGTTGGGCCCCAGGACTGTCCAAAGCAACCCTCTGGGCGAGAGGCTGGTCCCGGGGAGAGGTCGAGGCCTCTGGGAGTCCACGTTCGAGAAAGGATCGCGACGTCGGGGGCCAGGGAGGGAGGCCCACCTTGAATCAGGCACAGCTGCCCCTTGCGAGAAAAGGTGTAGGGGGATCTGCGCCTGGCCTGGTGGGGAGCTCAGGCTCCTCGTCTGCACGCCGGAGGTAGCCCCTGCCAAGAAGCAGCTCGAGGCAGAGGGGCTGGTCATCGAATGTGGCTGTTGCCCGATCTTAGGAGGGTCGACGACACCGTGGCATCGTGACCAGGTCGGGGACGTGGCCGAGATGGGTGAGGTTGTTTGCAGGGCCCTTCCCCTCGGGCCCCCCCCAGTCCCCCATTGCTCAGCCGGGGGCTGGGGAAGAGAACGCGCGTGGAGAGCGCGCCGTTGCCGCCGCCCTGCCCCCCCCCCCTGTCCATACAGGGGGGGGGGGCGGGCAGGCAGGGCCCAGGCCACGGCATCGGCTCGCGGCCCCTGGGCCCCCAGCGCCTCTTGGAACCCACCCAAAGTGCCCCCCCCCCCCCCCTGTAGAAGGTATGTCGTTCGAGTGGCCTCGATCACGGTGGATGCTGTGGATAACTCAGAACTGGGTACCGATTTTCACGACTGTGCCCGCTGTCTCGCTGGAGCGTCGAGCTCTAAACGCCTGGGGCCCCCCTGGGGCCCGCTCCCTGGGCCCTGGCCCCGCCCGCCTGTGCCCTGCGGGCTCCTCATGGGCCGGGTCCCGCCATGCCCGCGGCAGGGGCCGCCTCCCAGAAATGGGACATCTCAGACGTCACGGTCACTCCGACGCGCTCCAGACGTTCTTCCGAGATGCCAGCTACCATTGGCACCAATCCCAGCCACCTGAAGAGCTCCTGGAGAGACCCCCAAGAGATCCACAAGGTACCCCCAAGAGATGTTGAAGAACCTCTGAAGACATAGTCAAGGTATCTGGGGCCACATGCGTCACCACCCGAAGCTGTTGCCTAGAGCGGACGTGCACACACCGTTCTGGTACCAGCTACAACCATGGCACCTATGCTGCTTCCCAGAACAAATGTTTGGATACATGCAGAAGGACTTGGCTTGGTTGCTGGATCGCCAGAACAAGTTAGATACATACTTATATTGACTTGTAGCTATGTACACATACGTATATATATATATATATATATGTATATATATATACATCTATGTATATGCGTATACACATAATCCGGTTGTGAGGGTTGTGAGGCTGTTTTTGGTTCACCATGCGGCGGCACGGACGACGACGACGCCGCCGACGACGACGACGACGACGACGACGACGGCGGCGGCTGCGACGGCGACTACGACTCGGCGTCGACGCCGACGCCGACGCCGACGCCGACGCCGACGCCGATGCCGACGCCGACGCCGACGCCGACGCCGACGCCGACGCCGACGCCGACGAGGACGACGACCCCGCCCGGCCCAGGAGGCGCAGGCCCCGGCCTCGGCCGGCCGGCCGCCGCGGCGGCCGCCCCACAAGTTCAGCGAGGACCGCGAGTCGCGGCAGCGCGAGGAGCTCTGCCTGGCCGTCAGGCCTCCGGGGGCCCCGCCGAAAGCGCGCCTCGGGGCGCGCCGCCCTCCCCGCCCTCCTCGCCCGCCCCCTCCCCGCTCCGACCCCTCCTGGCCGCCCCCTCTCGCCCACTGCCCCCCTTGCCGTCTCGTGTCCTCCCACTCTTCCCCCCTCGACCCACCTGCCCGCCCGCACCCGCCCGCCCCCAATATCCTCGTCCCCTCTCTGTCTTTTTTTGTTCGCCCGCTCCTGCTGCTCCGTGTGGTCCCTCAGTCCCACTGGGCCTTCGCTTGTGCCAACCCAGTTGCACGCGTCATATGTTTGGGCAGGGGTTGATCGTCGGATGGGGACCTCACAGTGAGGAGGCGAACCCACCGTCCCCCTACGCACCACCACGTATGAGTAGCGAGTCGCGGGGCGACAAGGCGCTAACGTGTATCTCGACCGTGTTAAGTGCGGCCTTCGCTGCTGAGCAAGCGGCCTCCCCTGCACGTGGGGGCGGTGGGCGGCCGTTTTTGGCGATGAGGCAGCATTCTCGTGTGAGGCGGTCCTCTCGCGCGTGTTCGCTTCTCTGTGTTCCATGGCTCCATGGTTCCTCCTCCTCCTTCTCTTCCTCCTCTTCCTCCTCCTCCTCCTCTTCCTCCACGTCCTCTTCCTCCTCCTTCTCCTCCTCCTCCTCCTCCTCCTCCCTCCCCCGTCCTCATCCTCCCTCCTCCTCCTTCTCCTCCTCCTTCTCCTCCTCCTCCCCACCTTCTGTGGGTGTCAGGCAACTCCGAGGCAACTCCTTCTCCTCCTCCTCTTCCCTCCCTCCCTCCCTCCTCTTCCTCCTCCTCCTACTCTTTCTCCTTCTCCCTACTCATGCACTCAGCGCCGCGCGTCGCGGTGACGGCCGGCCGGATCGTGACTCCCGTTGCGATCCGAGATGGACTCGGAAGCCTCTCAGAAGCTTCTCACAAGCCTTCCAGAAGCCTTTCAGAAGCCTCTCACAAGCCTTTCAGAAACCTCGCAGAAGCTTCAGAGACCCCCCCCAATCTGGGCGCGAAGCCTCTCAGGGAAGCCTCTCAGAGAAGCTTCTCAGAGCCCTCAGAGAAGCCTCGCAGAGAAGCTTCTCAGAGGCTTCAGAGAAGCCTGTCACAGGCCTCAGGGAAGCCAATCAGAGAAGCCTTTCAGAGGCCTCAGAGAAGCGTTTTAGAGGCCTCAGAGAAGACCATCAGAGGCCCCAGAGAAGCTTCTCAGAAAAGCCTATGAAAAAGGGCCTCAGATAAGCTTCAGAGAAGCATTTGGAAGGCTTCAGGGAAGCGTCTGGATAAGGCTTCAAAGAAGCCTCTGCAAGGCTTCAGAGAAGCCTCTGGAAGGCTCCAGATAAGCCTCTGTAAGGCTTTAGAGAAGCCTCTGAAAGGCCTCGCTGGGGGCTGAGGCCTCTGTGCGAAGCCTCAGAGAAGCTTCTCAGAGAAGCCTCAGAGAAGCTTCTCAGAGAAGCCTCTGAAAGGCTTCAGACGAGCCTCTGAAAAAAAAGGCTTCAGAGAAGCCTCTGAAAAAATGGCTTCGCTGAAGGCTCTCAGGGGCCTCGCTGAGAGCTTTGCAGAAACTCTGGATCGGCGGCAATCCGGCGTTCTTCAGAAAAGGTTTGTATAGGAATCCTTCAGGTTGCGATCAGTCCGCTTCCAGCGATTGTAATCCGAGCGAAGTAGTTCCTGATCAGTCCGAAGTGGTTGTAATCGGCCTTATTCCCCCAAGGATGTCCTCCCCACCTGGGGAGGAGGACCCGAGGAGGACCGCCGCGCCGGAGAAGGAACGGCGTGGGAGAGGAGGACCCCCAGAGGCGATGTGAATCTGACCACCACCCCTCCCCAGGACCCCCCCCCGCCGGGGAATGGACAAAGGGTTGGGGCTTCCCTTTGACGTAATGAGGACGTGGATGGAACCCCCTCATGCTTCGAACCCGTTCCCCGAACGAGGAAGGGTGCTCTCTTTGTCTCCCCCCCGACGGGAGAGGAGGATGGGAAGGAGGGGACGAAAGAAGGTCCCCCGTCGACGGGACCGGACAGACACCCCACACACGCCCACACGGTCGGCGGATTTCGTTGATGGCCGCATCATCCTTCAAGATGGGTTTTGGTACCTTTACGCATATAGCGCGCTTGGTAATCCTTCCTCTCCTCCCTCTCTTCCTCCTCCTCCTCCTCCTCCTCCTCCTCCTCTTCCACCTCCTCCTCCTTCTCGTCATGATCATCATCATCAGCATCATCATCATACTTGTCCTCCTCCTCCTCCTCCTCCTCCTCCTCCTCCTCTTTCTCTTTCTCTCTCCTCCTCCTCCTCATCATCCTCCTCCTCCCCCTCCTCCTCCTCCTCCTCCTCCTCCTCCTCCTCCTCCTGCTCTTTTTCCTCCTCCTCCTCCTCCTCCTCCTCCTCCTCCTCGCCCTCCCCGTGGCCGCCTGGGCACTCTCGGCCCGGCCGCCGGCGCGCCCCCCCCCCGCAGGCACCAAGGGCCGGAGCCGGAGGCGTTCGAGGCGTTCGAGGCCGGGAGCTCGGCCCGTGGCCGCCCCTCCTCGTCCCGCACTCTGCAGAGGGAGGGGCTCCGGGGCCCCCGCTCGTGGCAACAAAGCATCAACTTGGGAACCCCCAAACCCCAAAAAGGTCACCGCTAGGTTTGGGGACGCGGGGTCACCACCGGGTTTTGTGACTCCTGGACCCACCAGTGTCCGGGACATCCTCGGAAAACCGCACGAGTCCCCAAACCGGGTGGTGACACCAAATCGCCCGAGACTCACCGCCAGGTGTTGTCACCACCACGTTTGGGGACTACCAATCAACGGCCCTGAGGTCCTGCTGCGTCATTCGTTTCGGGCGGTTTCGCCCAATTTCGGGCCGCGGGGTCCTCGCAGATGGACCTGGCTTATATAACAAAAAATGCAGCAGAAAGATGGGGGCATAGGGCTCTGGTTGTGCGTTCCGACGCGGTTCCCAATTTTCTCGCGCCGTCGGATCTCAGGGGGCTGTGCGTGTGCGTGGCCGTTTTCGACCCTTGAAAGGCCCTTACCGAGCCCAGGAGCCGACTCGGGATGAGAAACTGGTCCCGGGGAAGAGGTCCAGAATCTTGGGGGTCCAGGTTGCGGTCAACACGATGTCGGGGGTCTGGGGTGGGGGAGGGGGGCCCCGCGCCTCCTGATGGTCAGGGGCAGCGATGCAAACGGGTAGGCTCAGGGAGGAGCGCATCGGCCCGGAAGCGTCCGTTCATAGCCAGTGGGGGCTTCAGAGCCCACCCGGCCCGCGAGCCCGCGGCTCAGCTATCGGGGTGCCGGTCAACCGATCCACTGGGGGTGCTCGGGAGCCTCGAGACGGGGTCAATGCAAAAAGGGGGGGGTCAGCCAGAGCGCTCGGGTGCAGGACCCTTTTGCGACTGCCCTTCTCCGAGGGGGGCGCCGAGGGGGCGCCGAGGGCGCGAGGACACTCGCGCCCGCGCGCGGCGCGGGCGCGCGAAGCGCGGGGAGGCGGCTCTCGGATGACCGCTCGACGAGGATCCGTCGGCCTGCGGAGGGTGATGGGTGTGTTTTCCACCACCACCACCATAAGTTGGAGGGGGAGGGGGTCCTCCTCCTCCTCCTCCTCCTCCTCCTCCTCCTCCTCCTCCTCCTCCTCCTCTTCCTCCTACTTATGGTGGTGGTGGTGGAAAACAAGCCCATCAGCTGAGGGAGGGCCACGGGTCGGACCGAGGTGCCAGATCGAGTTCGAATCGGGGAGCGTACTTTCATGCTCTTCGTGCCTGCGGGATGTGCTCTTGTGCATCCTGGGGCTGGGTACCCTCGGATGCTCTTCGTTCTGGCCGGCGGGAGGGTCTCCTGTTCTTGAAGGATGTTCTTCTGTCCTCGGTCCGACTGTAGGTTCGCGTCGCGTCGACGCGGCGTTCGTGGTTGACCGTCACCGGTGCTCCGGAATCGGTCGGTATCGAACGATCTGCGCTGTCGGACATCCGCGACGGGTCGTCATGGTTGAACGATCGACGCGGTGTCAGAAACGAGCGCGCAGGTCGTCTCGGCACGAACCTGCCGTAACGCCCCTGCTTCGAACATCCATTATGTAGCACTTTTGGCCGGTATCAGATCTTCGGGAGTGGTAATCGGGAGCGCACCGCGAGCGCTCCCGTCTTCTGCTCCGCTCCAGAACGTAGCGTCGCCATCTGCCGTGTTGCATCATACGCCATGTATCGAAACATGCGTACACATTGTTCATGTCTAAATCATCGAAAGTTCTTTGATTTTTTGGGGGGCAAGATCCTGTCATTTCTAATTGTTCTATCCTGGGCCTCTTCCTGGCGACAAGGGGCCAGGAACAATTAGAAACGAGCACAAGTAGAAATGAGCACGATTAGAAATGAACGATTTGTATACATGGTTGAGGGTTTCCCTCCCCCTCCCCCTCCCCAATGAGTATGGAATCGAGCCGCCCCCTCCTCACCCCCCTCTTGATGGGTACGTCCGTGGGCCTTGCGAAGGTCTGGCGAATGGGATCGCTCGCCCCCCCCCCCTGTGGTCGTGGCCTTGTTGGCATGGCGTGGTGAGGGTGCTGGTCCCCCCCCCCATCCCTCCCCCTGTGGATGGTGGCTCGTCGTCGTCGTCGTCGACGTCGCCAGTCGTCGTCGTCGGTCGTCGTCGTCGCCGTCGTCGTCGTCGCCGTCGTCGTCGTTGTCGTCGTCGTCTGTCGTCTTTTTTTGTCATCCGTCGTCCGTTGTCCGTCGTCCGTCGTCCGTTTTCGTCATCGTCGTCGTCGTGCGTCATCCACCGTCCGCCGTCCGTCGTCCGTCGTCCGTCGTCCGTCGTGGTCGTCGTCGTCGTCGTCGTCGTCGTCGGGGTCGTCGTCGTCGTTGTCGTCGTCGTCGTCGTCGTCGGTCGTCGTCCGTCGTCCGTCGTCCCCGTCCCTCGCCCCTCGTCGTCGTCGCCATTGTCGTCGTCCGTAGTCGTCGTCGTCGTTGTCGTCGTCGTCGTCGTCGTCCGTTGGCGTCGGCGGCGTCGGCGTTGGCGTCGGCGTCGGCGTCGGCGTCGGCGTTGGCGTCGGCGTCGTCGTCGTCGTCGTCCCCCCCAATCCCATCTGGGGGGAGGGGGGGAGCCTGTGGAATCCTGGGACCCATCCCAACTGTGGAGGGGGGGCCCGTGCACCCTCGACCGGGGATCATGTCTGGCTACGCTCCGTTCCGCCTGAGAGTGTCACGAGGAGATCCATCATACCCCGGACTCCCCGCGGAGTCGTCCTCTGGCACTCGGAGTCCAGCCCTACCCTGCGGCTCGAGGTCCTCGGAGGCAGCAGGAGCAAGGAGATCAAGGATATTCCAGCGCAGTGCTTCTTGCATTGTCGATGTAACCCCCGCGGAGATTGAGCTGTTGTTCTAGGCCTCCCAGATGGGATCGAAGCAGGTGTGGTCCATTGGTCGAGTCGCATCACCAATGCATCGCCGATGCGACGCGATGAGGAGCCCGACTTTCTCCACGCCGACCGCGCCGATGTATAAACGACGTCGCCGATACATCGGCGCTACATCGGCGATGCGGCGCGATTCTCCGACCCCATGTGCTCGGGCCCCATTTGGGAGGCCTCTTGTTGTGCGGACTCGGGCTGAATCGCTGGCGGATCGCTCCGTACCGACAGGTGTAATTAAACGAACTGTGCCATGCTTGGTTTGTCTCAGGAGGGGCTAGGGTGCCATGGGAAAGCACTCGGATGTAGAAGAGAGGCGCCCAGACCCAATTCAAAAGATACTGCATCGCAGGGACCTTGCAAGACAACGAATGGCGCCCCAAAAACCGAAACCGGGAGCACCAGATGAACCATGTCACAGTTGACGTGTGTTCATCGGCCGTCTGAAGGCCTCCAGTGATTGCGAAAAGAGGGTCGACGAGGCTTGGAACAGGGACGGATTGGGGGAGAGGAAGTTAGGATATTGTAGTGGCCTCCGGCCAGTGCCGCCGATCCGGGGGCGCTCCCGATGCGATCTGGTTGGTGGAAGGAGAGGTGGAGGAGTAGGTGGAGGATGAGGCGGAGGGAGGTGGAGGGAGGGATTGCCAACCCGCCACCGTGCTTGGGTTGTGGGTTTGATGCCTCTTGTATGTGTGTCGGGGTGTCCTGGGAAGCTTCTCGGAGGCCTGTTGGACGCAGTTCGGGGGCCTTTTCGGGACACTTGAGGGGCCTGTTGGGAATCTTGGGGCTTATTGGGGTCCCCCTGAGACTCCCGGGGGGGCCTCTGAGAGGCATCGTGGGCTTTCTTGGGAGCCTCTTGCGCCGGAAGACTCGAAGTGTTGGGTCGGGTTCCCTCTCTGGGGCTTCTGTTGGGGCCATCTTGGGGCCCTCTCGGAGCGCCTTGGGTGCCTCCGAGGTAGTCCTGGAGCCCTCTTGGGCCATCTTGGGGCCCTCTTGAGTAGCCTTGGGGCTCCTTGGGCAGTTTTGGGGCGCTCTTGGGAGCCTCTTTGGCCGTCTTGGTGCGCTCGTGGGGGCCTTTTGGGCCGTCTTGGAGCGTCAGAAACCCGGAAAGGCGAGCATGTCAAAATCCATCAAAAATTATCGGAAAACAGACGATGCTGGCCTCATGAGCCCCTCTTGGGGGTGCTATTGGAGTTCTCTTGGGGCATCTTGGGGGCCTTTGGGCGTTCTTTGGGCCTCTTGGGAACTCTTGGAGACGTCTTGGGCCGTCTTAGAGGCCTCTTGAAGGCCCCTTGGGCCGTCATGACGCCATCTTGGGCTGTCTTGGATACATCTTGGGCCGGCTTCGAAATATCTTGCAGCAATCTTGGGCTCTCTGCATCCGGGGTGGCCCTCTGTTGTGTTTCCCACGACCCGACCCCCCCCCCCGTAAGACGCAGCACAGCGCGCCCCCCCTCCCCCCCCTCACCCCCCTACCCCGGCACCCGGGCACCCACCCCCCAGCAGAGCAGAAGCTCAGGAACTGAAGCTGAGGCTACATCTAAGGCTTTTTCAAACTCACACGCCGGATCGGCGGACTTATGGAGTTCTGGGTTTTCATTATAGTTTGTTGCGCAAGCCAGGTTAATCTGAGCAGTTGACATTGAGCCTGATCGGCAAATGGCAAGCCCAGAAGAAACTGATGGTGATTCTTGAAAGGCTACCCTTGTCCACGAACTGTCCGACCTCGGGGCCTCTCAAATAGTCGTGACAGCACGGTCGGCAGCGGAGCTTCTGGAAATACTGAGGCGGGCGGTAATATCTCGGGCTGCGGACCGACCGCCCCCCCAGGTAGTCAAGGGCTGGCCTCAACAGGTGCCCCGAGTCAACAGGTGCCCCGAGCAGACCGTGGCGGTCTCAGCACCCCAACCCTGGGGCGCGGGCCCGAAGGGGCGCCGCTGAAGGCGGCGCTGGGAGAACGCCCCGGACTACAGTGGGGGCCCTGAAGAAGGAACCCTTTTCGTTGGGGAGGGGCTCCGCGTTCCTGAAGTGTTTCACAGCTTGCCTCAGGCTTTCCTTATGTTTTCGATTGGGAATCGAAGTTTAACTTGTGGAAAAAAGGGGCCTCGTTTCTTATTTCTCGTTCCTTAGGTCAACGCCCCGACGGTACTCGGGAGGCTTGTTGAGCCCAGCTGGGACGACTACCTGGAGGAGCCGTCTGCGCGCCACCCAGAGCCTTGCCACCACCAGAGACAGGTCGAGGTGCGTGCGTAGACAGTGCCGCGCAGTCAGTGCACGTCCTGGTTCCGCACGGGTTTGCCGGCGGAGCGGTGCCTCGGCGGACACGCGTTCGCGCATCTCCGCAGGGTGTTTTGGCAGGCGTTTCACATATGCACGTGGGCGCCGATCGAGTGCGCTCACGTAGGGGACGCCGCGGTCGGCGTTTCAGGGGATTGCGCCAGTCTCGGCCGGGTCGCAGATATGCAGGCCCCGGAGGGGCCAAAAGCCCTCGCGTTCCCCCGCTCTCGCTCTTGCGAACAACAGCGCCGGCGTCGCGAATGTATGCGCGCGCGCCCATGCGCGCATACGGGTCCAGTGGCCCGCCCGCCACCGTGCCGTCAAGGGCCGCAGCGGGAACCGTCGGCGCCGGCAGAGCACTCCCAGCCACTTTGCCGAGGACCTCCCCTGGGGGGGCTCCAGGGAGCACGACGGGGAGCCCAGCGCCGCGCGCTGGGAAGCAGCCCTGCGATGCTGCAGCGTGGCGTGGCCGCAGGGTTCCGCGAGCCTGGTGCTGCCCGGCAGCCCTTGCAGCGGAGCTTGATCGGGCCTCTTGCGGGGGTCCTGGGGGGCCCTGTTGAGAGTCTGGGGGTAATATTACTGAGTCTGTCCATCTTGCCCCGACTCTGGTCAACGTTCTCCGACTCCGGCCCCCGACACCGGCTCGCCTTCACGGCTCCGGCCAGTGATCGTGGGCAAGTATCCACGGTTTCACGGGCCAGGCCTTTGGGCTACGACCCCGCAGATACAGGGGCGTTTTTTCGCGGATGCCCCGCGCGGAACGTATGCGTAAGACCGCGTATCCGTGGGATCGCGCCCCAGAATCCAGACCGCGAGGGCGCGGATACCTACATTCTTCTCTCGTGAAGGGAGTGGACGTCCAGTCAAGCAAGCAAGTAAAAGCCGAGCATCTTGAAGGAACGCCGGCAACCCTTAGTGCCAAACGTGCGCCGGTCTTTGATGCCGCCTCTCCCGCCGCGGTGGCCCGCTTTCCCGCCGCGCGCCCCGGTGCAGCTGATCGCCCTCGGCGGGCTGGCTTGAGCACGGCTGACCAGGGAACGTTGGCGGTAGCTGCTTGCGCAGTGGGAGCATGCTGCAGCGTGCCTCAACGGCTGCAAAACTCCGTGCCTTCAGCCAGCGCCCCGCCGCCTCTTGCAGGTGCCCCTGGCCGCCGCCGGCCCCATGCGGCAGGTGCGGATCTGCGTCGCTGGGCTGCTGGCGTTGGCGGCGCTGCGGTGCTGCGGCGCGAGCGTGTACGGCTCGCCCACGGAGGGGGCGGAAGAGGGGAGAGAGGTCCGGCGCGATTCAGTTCCTCCTCCTCCTCTTGCTCCTCCTCTTGCTCCTCCTCCTGCTCCTCCTCCTCCTCCTCCTCCTCCTCCTCCTCCTCCTCCTCCTATCCTCCTCCTCCCCCTCCTCCGTATAGCGGCGTGGAAGCATCTGGCCTCCTTGCGTCGCAAGTCTGTCCAGAAATGGGGTCTCCTCCGCTCCGTTCTCACTGGGGGTGTGTGGACGCGAGCTCGCATCCTGGCGTGTGGGGGTGAGACCGAAGAGTCCTGCCCCAGATGTGGTACAGGCCCTGAGACGGACATCCACCATTTCTGGGAATGCCCGTGCAACGATGAGTTTCAGGAGATCGATCAGGCTTTCGCCAGGAGGGCTGCGGCCGCTTCCATCGATGAGCCTTGTTTCTGGCTTCGCAGCCTCGTGCCCCGATCTTGGACCGAGGTGCCTCCTCCTCCCGATGACTCGCTGTCCGTCGTTTCTGGTGCGTTTCCGTGTCTCGGTGGGGGAACTCGCATTTGGGGCGCTGGAGACGCGAGCGGGGGGAGTTCTCGAGGGACAAACGTCTGAGGAGGGTGTCGTGGGGTGTCGCGGTTTTTGAGCATGATGTTTTAACTTCCCCGCAAGCTTTGGCCGACTCTGGTTTAAGGTTTGTGTGCGGGGGTGGCACTACAGGCAAGCAGTCTGTCAACCGAGGAGAGTTGATGGCTCTCGTTGTCTTCCTGGAGGCCGCCCAGAGCGGCTCGAGTCTTGGGTACGTGTGCGACGCGGAAGGCCGCACCCTCCTGCTCCCCTTCATGGCGGAGCTCGGGTGCGTCGGGTCGTTGAGCTCCCTCAACGAGGCGAACTTAGTGGTCAAACGCGCCCAAGAGGGCGAAGGCGCAGCTCGGCGCCACCCAAAGCGGTCGGGCCGGCTCTCGGCATCCGACTACCCCGAAGTGCGGGACCCCCTGTGGGGAGGGGGCTATCGAAGCGGCCAAAGCACCGCTGCAGGACCCAGGGGGAAACAGGTCCAGCAAGTGCTTCCCGCCAATACCGCAATCGACCATATGCCTGAGGCACGTGGAAGCGATGCTACCCAGCATGGTCCAAGCGAGTACTACGAGGAGTACTGCGAATTCAACCCCATGATTGGGGAGCTACTGGGCGACTGGCGAAGCCGACTGTCCCTTTGCAAGACTATCCTCGGGCCGACTGGCGACGCCGAGCTGAAGGTGGACGATCTGGACACCTTCTTCGCTATCGAGGCCCAGGCCATGCTGAAAGCGAGGGCTCTTCTCGGGATTGACGCTGACGACTCCGCCAGCGAGGCCGAGGAGCAGGACCCAGAGGAGCAGATCACCCTGCTCGAAGCGAGGGCACTTCTCGGTATTGACGCTGACGATTCTGCCAGCGAAGCCGAGGAGCAGGACCCAGTGGAGGAGGACGACGACGACGCCTTCGCGGCCAACCTGGCCGAAGCGAGGGCACTTCTTGGCATTGACGCTGACGACTCCGCCAGCGAAGCCGAGGAGCAGGACCCAGTGGAGGAGGACGACGACGCCTTCGCGGCCAAGCTGGCCGAAGCGAGGGCACTTCTTGGCATTGACGCTGACGACTCCGCCAGCGAAGCCGAGGAGCAGGACGACGACGTCGATGCCGACGCGGCATATGAGGCCGCACTGGCCGAAGCGAGAGTTCTTTTCCAGCTCGACGACGACCTCTTCGCGGCCAAGCTGACCGACGACAAGTCCCACGAGGTCGCTGTCGAGAACGGCGACGGCGCCCGGAAGGTCCCCGTGAGAGTGGCGTGGGCCGACCTCGAGGATTCCCCGAGCGAGTATGACGAGGAGTGGGAGCAGGTGCACGCGCGCGATTGGGCGAAGGTGGCCACCACGAGCCACCTCCCAGCGGCGAAGGCAGCCGACCCTCCGGGCCAAAGCCGGTGCGCCACCACGCGGCGTGCACAGCGGCCGCGGCGCCGGCGCCGAGCTGGCGCCCAGCCCGCATCGTGACGGTCACGCCGGGAGAGTTTGGCGGCCGCGTTACCAGCTCTCCTGAGGCGCATCAAGTGGCTGCCCCCTGAGCGGGGCGCCTGGCCCCCCGTTCCCTGGCGGATCAAGGGTTTGGGCTGCATCGAACGACGTCTCACTTCCAAGGCCGCCCCGTGCGGGGCTAAGATCGTTTGAGATCGACGCTTTCCATCGGCTTCTCGTTCGACGAGCGGGTGGATTTCTTTTTGCGTTTCACATCTGGTCCGACGCTTTGTCGAGGACCCACTTACGCATGGAGAACGGGGCGGCCCCCCGATAGCTCTATTTTCACGCAGGGTCATCGAGGTGGACCTCGGTTTGGACCCTCTTCTAGCACCACTCCAGAGTTAGGGTGGCTTGCTATCAGCAGGTGTGTTGGGCACGTGTGCGACTCCGCCTATGTGGCTCGGGATTTTGCACGCGTCCAGGCTGGCCTCCAGGAGCGTGTTCTGACCCACGTCGACTTGTGGGGGCGTGTCCAGAGCGCTCTGTCCCGCCTGGGCGGGGTGGCTCTCGTTCAGATTCTGAGCCATCTGTCCGTCTCCGAGGCCCTGGCTCGGGGCCTCAATCCTGGCGCGGTGCTGGCGAATGCTGTGGCGGATCAGGTCGCAGGCCATTTTGCCGCCCTCGTCCAGATGCCGCATGGACAGTCCGCGCCCGTGCGTTTTGCGGACGGCTTCGCTCGTAAGGTGCAGAACCATCTCGTGCCCGCTGCCAGGCGTGCGGATGCTCCGAGTCGGCGTGTGATTTAATGGCTTTTCTGTCGTCTCCGTGCCATCCGATGGTCTGGTCGGGAGCCGTGTTCAGACCGTCGGCGGTCATCTGTGTGAGAAGCCGATTGGTCCACCCGTCTCATGATGTGCTCATCGGCAACGATGAGCTCTACGAGGTGAGCATGCCTGCGGCTCCCTGCAGAGCCTGCAAGCTTCGAAAACTTGAGCTTTGAAGGGGCTTCGAGGAAGCTGCGAGCGACCCGTGAAAAAAATGCTTCAGGCACGCGCATGGGGGACGAGTAGAGAAACGCTTGCCGGGACACGCCTGAGCTTGCACGGGGGCTTGCCTTCGAGAGCGCGCGGCGTGGCCCAACCTTCTCTCTTCTTATCTGGAACCCTTTAAGCTGGCGTCCACGTGCGCAACGTGGTTCATCTGATGAATGCACCAGGAGGGTCACCAGGGCGGGCGCCCAGACCCTGGCAAGGACCTCCCAGGGCAAGGTTCCTGGTAGCTGTGTTTGGGGGAAGGAGAGGAGAGCCAGAGCGGGCATTGTGGGGGTGAGTGGTGAGAGAGGGGGGAGAGCGGCGAGCGCGCGCGCGGCGCCCCGCCGTGCGGCGGCGGCGCTCCTGGAGAGCGACGGCGTGGCCGTCGCCCACAGGCGCGCGCCCCGCCGCCGCCCCGCCTCCGCCCCCCCGCCCGCGGCGCCTCCTCCTCCTGCCCCTCCTGCTTTGCGCTCGCTGATGCGTCGCTGGCCATTGCGACTGCTTGATATATATATATATATATATATATACATACTCTTCCGTATAGCCGTTTTGGCTCAACATGAGTTCGTTCCGTGACAGAGCGCGGAGACACTTGGCCCAGAGACAGCTCACGACCCAGTTTTGCCGTGCTGTGCCCTCAGCGCTGGCCTCCGTATTCTCCCAGTTACACGTGCCCATCTTGTGTCTGATGGCTGGCACGGGCCACGCGTCGTTCTCATGCTGCTGGAGGAAGACAAGTCCAAACGTTCTGCCGCCAAGAGCCCCCCACACGGCAAATGAAGTAACCCGTGGGCAGAATCAGCAGCCCAAGCTCGGAGCGGACATTTTTCTCTGCACACGTTCGCAAAGATGCGCGAGACATCTTCGGTCAGCGAGCACGCGAAGCAGCCGACCAACTCGAGGCAACCGCCAATGTCGCCGCCGAGGCCACCAGCGCTGACTCCATGGCCTCCGCTAAAGCGATTGCAGAACAAAAAACATTACCGGGAATAACGATCGCACCGGGCGCGAAGCTACGCTGGTCAAGCAAAGAACGGATCGTGCGAAACAAGTCAATGCGGAGCTCAAAACTGCGCTTGCCAAGTTCGAAGCAGTGGTCGCACTCGCGGAAGCAAGGGCCCCATCTCTCGACATTGCCAACGTCGGCAACGGGGACCGCGAACCCGACCCCGTCGCATTCTGGCGTGGATGCGCAGCTGCTCTGGATGAAGCTACCATCCGACCCGAACCCGCTGATGTGGCCCCGCGCTGCAGGAGTGGATATCGCCTAGGTGGCTCTCGCCACGGTCGGTCTTGCCAAGCGCCACTCGTTCTCCGTCGTTGGGGGTGCGTTGGTGGCAGAAACTCGAGCCCGCAAACTACGTGAAGCTCTTCGCAAGGTTCGCAATTGGCGCGGCATCATCGCCCAGCTGAAGGTGTTGCTCATCCCCCCTGCGTCAGCGGCGGCAAAAGCCATTAGATTGCGCGGGGGGGGGGTCTAAGCCAAGAAGCTTGCCAATATCTCGCAGGCCAAGTCCAACGTCTCTGACGTCCGCGCCCACAGAGCGCAGGGCTACATCTCACGCAAAGGCGACGCAATTGTCCAGATCTTGGTCGGGGCAAGTGCTGACAACGCTACTGCTGTTCGCTGGTCATGCGCAGCCACTGAGTTGGGCATCGCCGGATCTATCCAGCAGGCCATCGCCGCGGATCTCGCCAGCGCTTTCGCGGAACGTAGCGGGTGCAACGCAAGGTGGTCGCCGTGATTCGAGCGACCAGCGGCGGATGGATTGCAGATCGTTTCCTGGAACACTCGAGCACTACGTGGACTTTACGGCGCCCGCCAGGGCACGATAAGCGTCGGCATCAACTTCCTTTATTTCGACAACGCCCGGTCTTCGCACTACACGGGGCGCATGGCACCCTCGAAGATCCCGCCTTCCTGGCGACTTCGACGGAGCACGCCTACTACGACCGTCACAACCCGAACGCCGTCGATGATTTTCATCTCGGCTAG